TATTTTATAAAAGCAAAATAAAACGGTTGCTTATGTCTCTGTACTGTGATACAAACGCTCTGGGAGCTKTAGGAAAGAGCAAGAGAAAGCACTCAGCTACGCCTCGTTTCCTAAGCTTGCTTCTCTCGTGCTCTACAGTCACAGMGCGTTTATATCACAGTACAGACACATGCGCGCGCGTTTTTTATTCCTTAATGATCAGTTAAACGCCGCATTTTTGCGTCAACGAAATCGAAAATCTTGAGAAAAAATCAGCGTATTTTCCATTTAATAGATCAAAATAGTTTTCCCTAACCTACGTCGCCAAAGTTGAGATTGCAAAGGCGGCAAAAAACTAATTAGTTGTCGGCGCTTTTCGACTCCTCCGTTCTGGCTAGGGGTGAAAAGTTATCAAACGGAAGAAAAAAATAGCTTCCAACTAAATATCAAAACAGATCATTTTCAGCCATAATCGAGATACATAACCGGGTTCAGAACACTCATAAAGCTAGTAGATAAGTAGGTAGTATACAAAGTCGTCTTTGTTTTTCTCGTCGGCTTTCCGTGCAAGGTTTGATTATCAAGAATAAATACTTCTATGGGTAGAAATCACTATCTTTGACTCGAGATGTTCGTGAAAAAATTGAATTGTAGGTGAGCGCTATCGTGTTTAACTTTCACTAGAGTGTACACCATATATCTGTTAAAAAGTTAAATAGCAAAAGTGTACAAATTAGTGCAAAGTTGTGTTGGTCCACGGTCTACTGAGGTCGGCTGAACTTATTAGTTTGCGCAGGATAAAGCGCATAAAAGAGAAAATGAGCTAGTTCATATTCTCTTGGTGCATCCYATATACACGTTTAAAACGTCATAAGAAATTGCACAAATCGTTCCCCTTTGCCCCTTCGCTACGCCCTTGGCTTTTGATGAACAAAACATATTATACCATCTCTAGTTTGCTAAAGRTAGCGTTGCCTATAAGGGTGGAAGAAGTGAATGCCGACTTCTAGATCACTTCCTTCACGACAGGAAAGCCTTGAGTCAACAATATTAAGAAATCATTTCCTAAATCAATAGCTCATGAACTTTGATTTTTATATYCTGAAAATTCGGAATACATCACCATTTTAACATTTTTCGCGCTTGCTGTCCGACATTCAGTGTTTATTGTTGGTCGCCGCGCCATGAAGAGAAATCTCTCTACAACACTAGTCTTGAGAAAACAAAATATATTACAGAATCTTTTTATAAAAATATATATTAACGCCAATATTTGCGCTCTTATAACGAAAGTTCAAGAAATCCTGGTCTCAAAAAATGGATTATGCCAGAGCCCTCGTTCCCTAACGCAGGCTAGAAGAAACGCAGGCTAGAAGAAACGCAGGCTCCGAGTACGAGATTGTGGTCACGGACCGAAACCTCCATAAAAATGTTTCAAAAATCAATTCAGAGAAAAACAGTTGAAGTATTATTATAGATTYTGACTTGGATTATAGCAGTATTTTTAGCAAAAATATTTGTTATCGCTATTCACCAGTGGAACAGCTCGACGAGAGTGCTGTAATAACTATCGTTTTAGATTAATATAGATAGTGCGTGCAAGTCGCGACCTTCCGGTTACCTCGTCTACCGCCTGGGACAATTATCTTTTCTGCCCCAACACTGACAGACATTTGGGAGAGTTTGGCATGTCATGACGACATAGACTTGACCTTGACCACGTCATCACATCACATCACATCATAGATGGATGTTATATTTGGGGTAGCCTGAGGGCAGAACTAGAAATAGCTGGATACAGTTGGCGTGTGGTGAAGTTTGCGTGCGAAGTAACCTTAAATCCCTCCCACTTGCAAGTGTCTTTCCCTACAGGGGTGGGGATAGGAAGCCCTTTGTTTAGTGAGATTGTAGTTGCTCTACCGATGCCTTAAGCCCCGTTTACACTAGCGATTTTTTCGGCGATTTTTGCTGCGATTTTTTTCCAATTTTGTCCATAATAAATAATGGTAAAGAATTTACTTGTAAAGTTTTTTCAGGATACCGAGATTTTCCTAGACGAATGTCTCTTTTGAAGGATGAGACAAAAGATTTTATATTTCCGAAAATTGCCACAAAAATCGCAGCAAAAATCGCCGCAAAAATCGCCAGTGTAAACTGGGCTTTATACACCGAATCTAAATATGGCGACCAATTTGAATAACTATTGTTACACGTGAAAACGCTTTTATTTTTCCATGTGTACACGACGCTAGTCAGTGCAGAACAATAGTTATTCAAATTTGTTGCCATATTTAGATTCAGTGTATATTAATGTAAGTTTCTTGCGCATCGGATTGTAATGAAAATTGCGCTCTTTGACTTGCATTTGTTTTTCATATTTTTATCCCTTGCGACTGTCACTCAGCTAGATTTGTTTGATGTGTTGTTCTCTCCCTTGCCACGAGGAGTTTTCTCCAAGTTCTCTGGTTTTCCTCCCTCCGTAAAAATCAACATGTGAATTGAGTTTGTTTGATGTGTTGTTCTCTCCTATCCAACGAGGGTTTTCTCCAGGTTCTCTGGTTTTCCTCCCTCTGTAAAAATCAACATGTGAGTTGAGTTTGTTTGATGTGTTGTTCTCTCCCTTGCCACGAGGAGTTTTCTCCAAGTTTTCCAGTTTTCCCAAACTCGCTAATTCTTTTCCATATGAAAAAATTCACCAAAGATGAAATCTTAATCTTGCACATGAAAATCTTTTTAATATGTATCCATATAACCAATTTCAATTTTGTTTTTTCATCGACTAAACGACGTAAACAACTTAAATACTACAAAAATAACAAATATACAAAGTAATAAACTGTTAAATACCTGTTATACAGCGCATATACACTTCTATTGTTATATTAATATAAMTTAACTCATATGGATTCCTACTTAAATATTTAGTCCTTTAAACTCTATAGAGTGCAAACAATATAACCGTGAAACTTTAAACCCCGTTTACACTGGCGATTTTTGCCGCGATTTTTGCCGCGAATTTTGCTGCGATTTTTGTGGCAATTTTCGGAAATATGAAATCTTTTGTCTCATCCTTCAAAAGAGACATTCGTCTAGGAAAATCTTAGTATCCTGAAAAAAACTTTACAAGTAAATTCTTTGCCATTATTTATTATGGACAAATTCGCAAAAAAAATCGCAGCAAAAATCGCTAGTGTAAACTGGGCTTTAGTAATACGAAATAGCACAATTTCATGCAAATTCCATTGTTTTCTATTGTTTAATTAGCACTAGTGTTTCACGGATTAATTGTTTGCACTCTACTTGATTATTCCATACTTCTTTCGTAGAAATTAGGTTTAAATTAGGTCTCACTTCTTAACACCTAACATTGATATACTTGCACATTGTAACGTAAGCCTTATCACAAACTTTTAATCTTAACAACGCGCTGTTAAGGTTCCTGTTAGTGGTCGTGGTTATCTGTCCGGTGGTACTGGTGGCAAGGTACTTGTTAGTTGCTTTTGATTGAAAGGTAACGCAGCCACTACAGCCTGGACTAAGAGTCGACCTAACGAGGAATTTCTGATTGTCTGTTATCGATGAACCAGGTTGCTGTAGACAAGAAATACGAGAAATATCGCGATTCGTTAAATAGTCCCTTATATTTTTGAGACGACAATATTTTGTGGTATAGTCGTTTCAAAATKAATRTTTCTGATTGGCTAACGCGCGACGAAAAGGAAAGCTTGAGCTTGCGCGCGTCAAAYTTTTACGCTTATTGCTTGCGCCATAGCGCGTGCTCGTAAGGAGAATTTCGCTTTTAATCAAAGAAAATCGGTCAGTTTTTTTTCTTTTTTGTGTGTTAAATTCTTTAGAATCGCGATASAAAACTAATTACGATYTTGAGACGACAATACCACGAAATATTGACGGCGTTGGAAGAAAATATATTCGGTATTAGTMCATACAATGAAAGGATAGCTGATGTATATTATGCTAATGCGCGCGCCTGYCCGCGCTGTACTTTGTCTTGGGACCCATCAACATATCTGAAAAGGTGAGCAAATACTACTTGCGTKGATTYCCTGGGTYGCGCATTCTCGTACCCAAAGCCTTCTCAGCTTCCTAAATATGAATCGCGCGCCTAACGTGTCACGGTGTCACGCGTCACGCACTTTAATATTGCAACTCACCTCCAGAACMAGTGGATTTCCTGTGGTTTTTGCTGTTAAATAATAACTDGTGTCGTGTTGCCATTGTAATGTGGCTGTCAATCCTCGACTTGATGCAGAAAAAACGACKTTGAAATCTGTGGTTTATAAATGACAAAGAATTACTTTAAGATATTTTTTATTTATTTAACAGAGCAGAGCAGAGCAGAGCAGAGCAAAGAGGGAACGAGAGGAGAAGAGAAGGAAAAAAATCCTACAATTACTACGTTTCTCAATTCAATTAGGCCAATTAACAGTTCAATTCAACAAAAGTTCCGCTATGTACTTTAAAAAATACAAAAATTTCCGGGTTTTTCTACCAGCGAAATATATGCTTGCATTTCAAGAGATCCAAAGAAGTTATAAATTCAAAAAGCTTTCAAAGCTTATGATAACAAATAATAATAATAATAATAATAAAGTAGTAAAAATAACTGCTCAATGATTTCTTGATAACTGTCTTGTGAAATTCTAAATATTAGTGCTCTAGACTAACATGTTTTTTTTTTTGTTAGTAAACTTGCTGAAAGTAAGGGCCAAAGATTATTGTCCATTGGGTCATAAAAGTCCAAAACATCCACTTCTGTAAGTATGAGTTCAACATTTAGAAAACCAGCTCTTTTGGGGATTCTAACATATTATATATTATCAAGTTTTCTCCGAAGCTGAAATCCAATTTAATGCTAAGAGCGATGTAAATGTTAGTTTAACAAGTTTTTTTTTCAAGTTCCTTGTAGAAGAAAAGTGTGCAAAATATCAGTAGAAAAGATATACGAATATAGAAGGCTTTTRAAAGATCGTGCTCATAATTTACCACGATGACTCAAACTGCAATTTATAATGCAAAGTAAAGRAAAGTATTCTGTGTTKATACAAAGAGATATGTATTAGCTACAATAGGTAAAACATGTTTGTTTAGCTTGGTCAAGTTTGGCTTCTAARAGACTCTCGTTATAAATAATTTACCACGATTACTCGAGCTGCAATTCACAACGCAGTTCTTATAGTTCAAACACAAACCCGTAAAAACACATAGATTTTATCAAATTGAGCTAATCCTCGCAGTATGTCAAGCAACTTAGGCAGCTGCAAATTTGAAGACTAATTTAAAGTCTTTCAATTTGAAACTGCACAAGTTGCTTGATATACTGCGAGGATCAGCTCATTTTGATACATTACAACCGCAGTACGAATATATAGTTTATATATATATTCTCATGTACGTATAGATTTTGTAGTCAGTTTTTTTTAATAATATAAGAAGGGAAAGAATTTGTGATRAAATTCAGTGATTAAAATAACGATAAATTCACTTTATTGAATTGGACAGAGTCTAACATCAAAACTAGTATCGATTCGTTTGAAACCCTCTCATTTCTGAAGCGTTTGTCTAAGAGTAGCATAGCCAAACACTGATCTTTTATTCTCTAAATGATTGTTGTTCCTACCTTTTTGCTTCGGGGTGTGACAGCAGTGTCCATTGAATGACAATCCGCTTGGAACTCCTTGGCTGTTAACATCCACTCTCAGCAAATTGCAGTCAGTCAGTTGATATTTCTGTCTGAAAGCTGAGTTCAGAGAATAGATCTTTCCGCTAGCCACGGCTTGGTTATAACACACATATACTGAACACAAAAACAATACCTGAAAAAAAAAAATCATATGAGCTTCAAATCTTCGACAAATTTTAGTGGAATTTCATTGGAGTTCAGTAGTAAGGACATTTAGGATACTATTTAGTACTTATGGTACTTGGCAGAGAGAGTTAACATACGATATTGGGTGTGGCAGACTTCAACTAAAACATGTTTCAAATATTTCGGTATCTGCATTTGGTTTCCCTGAACTTGACAACTGTCTAGATATTCAAACCATTCAAACTGTTTCAATCTTCTTCAAGCCAGTACTATGAACTCAACAGTCATAGAATTGCTTCCAGTGCTTAGCTTTAGCTTTGGTGTATGTAAAGAATTACAGTTCCAGTGGATAATATTAAGATAGAATGGCTGTAGCGCGTCAACGTGCAGTTCTACGAGTTTGGGGCGAGTATATATCTGAGTTCGTGCTAGACAGCGGCGAAGACAGAGAGCCCCACATTTAGGCTACAATACTGTAGTGTTGCAGATCAAAACGCTTTCGTAGTAAAAGGTAAGAGAATGAAAATAGTTTTTACTTCCGAAAAGTAAAGAGCGCCTTCAAGTTACTAGAAGTGTTATACAATCGACTGTATACAAGTGTACTTTATGAAGAGTTCAAAATTTGCTAACTGAAATCTTTAAAACCGATGTAAAACCCAATAGTTTTAGCTCCTCACTTCAGTGATTTAGATTAAMTGAAAACCACTCCTATAGAGCTTTAAGTAAATTGATCTTCCTCAAATGGATGTGATACAATATCGACTATATACTTCTTGAAGCGATCAAAAACTATATTGGGATCTATAAAACCTATGTAACATTCAATTTAGTCATTATTTACTTAGATTATCTGAAAACTACTTCAATAAATTAGCTTTATGTAGCAGTTTTACGTGAACTTGTCTTCCTCAAATGAGGTGAGCGTACCAAACACTACTTACGATTGATGTAATCTTCAATGCCATCTTTGTCTTTATTCTTGGTCAACTTTTTCTTGCTCGCTTGCTCGCTTGTTGGCTTTTCTTAACATTTTCAAACTCCCGAAAACTTTCTTAAATATTTTTTTGGCCATTCGGTCGGAAATTCGTCAGGGAAACTGTTGCCGACTCACAAGATATTGAGRCTTTGTTCGCCCACATATTATTATTGAGAAGGGATTGCACGCCAAACTTCAATCGGATTCGGAGGAGTTTGCTCTTCTTCCGTTCAGTACCGTTTTGTCACACACAAGGTTAAACAACGTGTTTTTATYTATGATTATAGAAACACTAGCTCGTTGCCCAGCAGTGTTGCGTAGTTTTTGCCCTTCCAAATCGCCCGAGTATCAGTGCTCTTGACGTCAGTGACGTGCAGGAAAAATCATGGTTGAAGTGAAAAGTTGGGCGCAATCAATTTATTAGTAAAGATATTCGTATTTATTGTGAATTTACGAGAATTTCTCAAGGTTTTTCGTTATTTCCCCTTGTAGTCGTGAGTGTGTGGGGACAGATGGCCGGCGCGGAAGAGGAAGTATCCCACGAGGAGTTTTCCGAGGTAATGGTATGTAATATGACGCGCTACTGGCCTAGTTAGGGATTTGCTGGATATATTTATTGTTATTTTTCAAATTGGTGGGTTTGAAATGGATGGATGGATGGATGGATGGATGGATGGATGGATGGATGGATGGATGGGTGGGTGGGTGGATGGATGGATGGGTGGGTGGGTGGATGGATGGATGATTTGACTTTTTACAAGGATCCTGCGTTGACGTCATAATTTCGTGATTTCTATATTGGATATCTCGGCAACGAAAAAAGATATCAAAAAGAAAGTAAAGCCATTCTTATTCATTTTATAAAGGCTTTGAAATCAAGAAAAGATCCTGTCGACTTAATAGGCACTTTAATGTTTTCTCATCTGCTAACAAAACGTCATAAAGATTTTCTCTACAGAGCCAGGGTCTATAGATCAAGTATTTCTTACTTCCTGCTTACTTACTTAAGCTTTCTTACTTCCTGCTTGACCTGGTAGAAAAGGGGCGGAAKTAAAACGGATATTTGACGGGCGGCTGGTCAGTGATCGATAGCGAGTAAAATGCTTTTCCTTTGCGTAAATTTGAGGGCGATTCACGAAAAAGATAGTCACATACGATCCAAGAGCGATGATCTTGAATTATAACGCTCTTTTCGAGCACGTAGAAGATAAAAAAATCACGTTTTTGTTATCGTAAATTTGACTCAAATCTTTAAACAGGAAGTTGACTCAGTTTCCTGCGTGTACCAGAAGTCTTCTGGTCTTTGGAAAAAACAGACATATCTCGTAGAGCATGTGCATGTTACGTCATAGCCGCCATCTTGGTTGACAATAACAAAGCTTTCCTCATTAGCTTCTCTTGTTATATCAACCAACATGGCGGCTGTTTAATTGTTGTTCATATCTCAAGGGATTTTGAGTCACGTGGTTGCACACACTCTATAGAGCATGTGCATGATACGTTATAGCCGCCATCTTGGTTGATGATAACAAAGCTTTCCTCATTAGCTTCTCTTGTTATATCAACCAAGATGGCGGCTGTTTCATCGTTATTCATATCTCAAGGGGTTTTTAGTCACATGGTTGCACCCACCGCATACGAACAATTTTCTAATCTTCTTACTTAAATCCTCAATTTTAACAACAAAAAAGTCTAAAACATTTACAAATATCAATACTATTTGTAATTCTTGTTTGTAATCAAAAACAAATGCATCACGGCCATGAAGTTATTTGATAAGAAGAGATAACTAGCTAAAAACTAGTGTGAGCTGCGTCGGTGTTTCTAATGAAACAGTAATGATAAAAGAGTAAATTTTACACCGTGAAAAGATGAAGAAATGAAAAAACTTACTGACGTTTTGGACGCTATAGTCCTTCGTTGGAGTAAAAGTTATTTGAATTTATTTAAAGAAAATGCAAGTTTTTCAAAGTTACCTATATCCAAACATTGAAAAACTTTGGACAAGGAGTTAGTGTATTTATTGTGATACTTCCCATGTTGATCACCAGTGTAGCTTGRACAAAAGCCGCCTCAATAATGCTATTGACCGTTTTCTCAAGATTGCGTGCGCATCCAATTTAAGGAACTTGGCGGGCCACGATACCAGAACACAAGTATTATCCTGCATTGCTATGAATCTTTTTACGACAAGAAATCATAAAATCGATTATTCTCCTCTTTGAATATAAAACTGGCTCCTCAATTTTACTGAATTTGCGTTTTTCAGTTTTGTGGTCCGTCAAGTGGGATGCACTCGCAACCCTGAGAAAACGGTCCTCAGCAGGCTACCCCACATATTCTCTGTTGGGATCCCTGTTTTAACTTTATGGCAGTAGAGAAGAACTACGAATGCCACAGGAAGCCCAAGGAGCAAAAAGAATCAATGAGACGGCTTGCCTTGGCGACAGGAGATTTTTCTCAATATCATATTTCTCGTTGTCGGTATTTCATTGGCCATTGGATTTGTCATTGATTAGCGTGCATCATCTAGTTTTGGGTGCACGCGGGAGGCTGCCAAGCATGAATGAGGCGCAACAAGAGTCGTATGAGGCGTAGCATATGCTATTATGATAGTGTTCTATATGGCAATTTATTCTAAATCTATACGTAATTTTGTAAAACAATCAGCGCGCACCCATCACCAATGGAGAGGTTGGCATTTCCGCGCGTATTCAGATTAGAATTCTTAAGAAAATTCCCGCGCAAATAGCACTCTCGACTCTGCTCTCGACCCTAGGGTCTTGTCATTTTTACTGCGCATGCTCGACGAAATGGCGCAAATGGTAGAGGTGTTTGCRATCTCGTACCCAGAACCTGCGTTTCTTCTGGCCTGCGGCAAAGAACGAGGCATAATCCATTTGTGGTGCATCCGCAGTTTTCCGGAGGTGAAACATAATYAATGAAAATCATGCTTTCAAACCTGCTTTCAAACAGAGTTCTRTGTTTACTTCCGAAAAAAAAAAGAATACAGGAACATTTTTTATGGRCAAGTCTTTGAGCGTATGCGCTCTAATACCGGAAATTCAAGAAATCCTGGGCTCAAAAAAATGGATTATGCCAGAGCCCTCGTTCATCGCCGCAGGCTAGAAGAAACGCAGGCTCTGGATATGAGATTGAGTTGTTTGTTGGTTCTCTCCTGTGCTTCGAGGGTTTTACTCCAGGTTCTCCGGTTTTCCTCCCTCCACAAAAATCACTTTCTAAATTCCAATTCGATCATGAAACAAGAGGCACAAGTTTGTTAGCCACTGGCGATATCAACTGCTACGCTCGTAAAACAAGAAGTATTTAAAATTGGTCTTGTATAATTAAAAAAAAAGATTTAATAAGTGCTGGGGCATGGTACCTTGCTTGGGCTTCCTGTGGAAAAGTAAAATAATAACACAGGAATCCCGCGCAGTAGAACCTGCAGAAAAAAATCCAAGATGGCGACCTCCAAGTCCAAGAAGAAGGCGAATACCAAAGCTGTTCTGTCATCTTTGATCGAAACGCTAGACCTGTGTGAGAGCAAAGTAAAAGGTAACGTTGTTCATGTTTTTTTTAAGACTCGTTGATCATTATTTAAAAATTGAATTGCAATCCAATAAAAATCTTGAAGCCAGCTGCTCACAACGTGCAAATTAAGCTTAATGTTAATTAACAAATGATTGTTCGACTGTTTCAACATTGGTAATTTCGTTACTTTGTAGAAAAAATACTTATTTTGTAGAAAAAAGAAGCTACTCCATAAGATCAAATTTATTTGAAATTATTTTCACCTTAGTAGTATTCAAGGATAATGTCTTTTTGTAATGATTTGTGGTGGTAGGGGGGGAGGGGGTGGGGGGAGGATAATTTCTTAAGAACAGCTTATAGACCACTTACATGTGACATCAAAGTATCTCAATTTGGAGGACAAAACAAAAGAATTTCAATCTCCTGAGAATTGGAAACCTATTGTTATGTCCTCCAAATAGACCCCTTGCATGTGACGTCAAAGCAGCTCAATTTGGAGGACAAAACCAAAAAATTTCAATCTCCTGAGAATTGGAAACCTATTGTTATGTCCTCCAAGTAGCTATTATTACAGTTGTGCCCGCAGTGAGGAATTCTTTTGTTTTAAGAATCATACAAGTAAGGCTATTGGGTTGACACAACGCTTGTCGTCTCACTTGCATCTCATTTGCATACATCCATAATAACTGCTATTCTTTGATTGCATGTTATGTCATYGCGGCCTCTCGGGGGAACGTTGGCGCCATTTAACAAAAGATTTCTTATTAGCATCCATTGTTAACGGCACCACAATGGCCACCATGCTTTTGTCTTTGAACTCTCTTGGGAATGCTTTCAGCCCATCAATTGAGCTGCATTCCAACGTGCTGCAAGGGAATTATTTGTATTTTTCATTTTTCTTTAGATGGAAGTCTAGGACAGGTGATGGAAGACCTGGAATACAATTTCTCCATGGAAGACTTTTGGCTTAAATTAGGTATGAGAATAATTTATAGAATTATATCAATCAGCTGAATAAATCTCATGAATCTTATTAGAGTCTACAATGACAGGCAAACATTGCCCGTCATGTGCTGTCAACCAGAGAGTATTCTATTGCTTGGTATCAATCAGCTGAATGAATCTCATGAATCTTATTAGAGTCTAGAATGACAGGCAAACACTGCCCGTCATGTGCTAACAACCAGAGAGTATTATATTGCTTGGTATCAATCAGTTGAATGAATCTCATGACTCTCATTACCAGCCTACAATGGCAGTCAAACACTGCCCATCATGTGCTATCAACCAGAGAGTATTCTAATACTTGGTATCAATCAGCTGAATGAATCTTATTAATCTTATTATGAGTCTAGAATGACAGGCAAACACTGCCCATCATGTGCTATCAACCAGAGAGTATTCTATTGCTTGGTATCAATCAGCTGAATGAATCTCATGAATCTCATCTAGGCTACGATGGCAGGCAAACACTGCCCATCATCCTTTTACTTGATCTCAGTTTTAATTCTTCAGTTTCATGAATATATGGGTGTCATAGGATTAAGATCTGTAAGGCTTACAATCTATATGCAAGTGTTGTGGTCTCACAAGGCCCTTAGCTTGATCACCAATTTATCAAACTTCAAATATTATCAAAACACTTTAAATCTTGTCAATTCCCTGAAACGCTGTACTAACAGTAATTGCTTTTGTGTTTATTTATTAACTGTGTTTATTTTAGGAATGACATTCAGGGCAGTGTCTAAAGAAGCGACGAACCTAGCTGTAATGTTCTTAAAGCCACCAGCTCCATCTGCYGAGGTGAGACTCTTTTGAGATTCTCTTTAGGTCTAATAATAAGCAACGCTCTTATGTTACAATAAATATAATTCTATGTTAACAAACAGTTTAATAATTAACAGATCAAAAACAGTTTTCAGTGTTTGATACTCTGATCAAAACACGCGGGATGTTGAGAGAACACGAGAGGAGCGTAGGAAACCACGACGTGTAGTGGAGTGGTTTCTAGCTTCTCAAGTGTTCTCTCAACACCCCAAGTGTTTTGATCAGAGTATCAAACATGGAAAACTGTTTTTGATCTGTTTTATAAAATAACAAACACGCCAAAAAACGAAAAAAATACCGTATTATTCTCATGTATTTGTAAAGGATGACGTGAGCATGTTTTGATACCCTCATCAAACATGGTTTTCGACCAATCGTAGCACATGTACTATCCCAATTATTTTATAAACTGCCAATTTAAATGTTTTTTTACTGAAATGTAGGACCTTGAGGGAATGTTAACTGGTTTTGAGACAGCTGTCATTGGTTTGCTTACAGTATTTCATTCTTTACCTTTATCACAAGGTATAGTAAAGCAAGTTATTATAGTTCTCAGAATCAAAGTTATTAATAGTGTAATCCCCCCCCTTAATAGTGGTACACTGTAGTACACAGGCAAACTCACAGATAGAACCCTGAAACAACCTCTGGGCTGATCTAAGTCAGGGCATGGCTAACTCACAGGTAGAACCCTGAAACAACCTCTGGGCTGATCTAAGTCAGGGCATGGCTAACTCACAGAT